TCGAGACCACAGATTCTCCACCCCTGCCTTAATGTTTTACCATATTTAGAGGACACAGGAATCTCGTCTCCAAGGACTTGAGATGGAGACAAACTGCAGCCAGTTCTGTCCTTCTGCCCAGCCTTCACTTGAGAATGAATTTGTCCCTCTTTTGTGCCAAGCCAATTCCTTCCCCTCCATCCCCTGTGGATTCAAAGTACAGCCCATTCCAGAAGTCTCCCCTGACCCACCAACTCAGATCTCTTCCCTGGTTCCAGGGTCTAGAGCACTCACCAAACATATAGGCTAATGTAGGTTAATTAATTGTTCATTCTTGCAGTTATAGCTTTGTTACCGTTGAGAGGCAATGTGGTGGAGAGTACAGTGAGCTTCACTTTTTTTTTTTTTAAGGTTACCATGTTTAAGGTAGCTTCACTTCTTAGTAAGTCAGGAAGACATGGGTTCAAGTCTTGCTTCTGTCACATCCTGGCCCTGTAACTCTAGAAAAGTTACTTCATCTCTCTGTGCCCCATACAACTCTAAGACATACAGTTGCAAACCAGTTGCTGAGTTGCATTGGTAGAAGGAGTTTCCTCACCAGGAACTCCTTATACAGTTGAAATCAAAGGTCCTAAATAACTGAAGATCTCTCTATTCTCTTTCCCTCTCCCCCATTTCATTTCCTGCTTTCCTCTTCCCCTCCTTTCTTGCTATGTTTCCTCTCCTTTCTTGCCTCCCTGTTCCTTTGCTCCTTCCCTCCTAGTATGCTTGGGTTTTGTCCTCTTTCTTCTACCTGTAGCCTTAGCTGGAGCTTCTCAGGGGCATTCATTGCCCTAGCTGTGGCCCCAGCAAAATAAATGAATAAATGAATGAATAAAGTGTGAGTGTGTGTGTGTGTGTGTGTGTGTGTGTGTGTGTGTGTGTATGTGTGTGTAATTTTATATACACGAAGTGCTTTTGAGAGGCTTCAAAAGAAACAAAATACGATTTTGCCCTTCAGGATTACTGTCTTGATTCGGTAGGGAACACAAATGATGTTGGTGTTATAGAAATAACAGCTTATATTTTTATAGCACTTTAAAATTTATAAAGTACTTCACAGTGTTTATAAAAGAAAGTACTTCCACAATCCACAATAGTTTTAGGAGTCAGGAGAAGTAGACCTTGGCCCTGACACATACCAGCAGTGTGACCACTGGTAAGTCATGACAATAAGTCACATTGCTGCTATGATCTTCTGTTTCTTGTCTTTTAAAAGAAAATGGATCTTTTGTTCTTCCATCATTCGTATCTCCCTACATGTCCCTCTTTTTCCTCCCTTTCCCAGAGAGCTGTTTCCCAAATCAAATAAAAAAGGATAAATAAGAAATAATTTACAGAGGGAAGGCACTAGAATTAATAGGGGTTGGGAAGGCTTCCTGTAGAAGGTAGGATTTTAGTTAGGACTTGAAGCCAGGGAGGTCAGTAGCCAGAGTAGAGGAAGGAAGGAAGTATATTTTCTTATCTAATTCAGTTTTTTTTTCTTTTTTGCTAACGAATAAGAATTCTCAAGCAAAATGAAACCATACACTGGCCATGAATGAAAATGCATATCTCCTTCCATACCTCTCTAGTTCATTACCTCTCTGCCAGGAGGAGATCATGTTTTGAATCATCATCAGTTTCCTGTAGATGTGACTGGTAATTGCATTGATCAGTTATTGTCACATTTGCTTTCTTTTACTGTGTTATTATCATCGTTATATAAATTGTAATGGTTTTGCTCACTTCAGTCTTCACCAAATTTGTGTAAGCTTTCCCAGGTTTCTCTGAATCTGTCTCTTTTATCATTTCTTATGTCATCCCTCACTCAATAAACTCCATTGGCTCCCTGTTGCCTCCAGGAGCAAATAAAAATGTTCTGTTTCCCATTCAAAGCCTTTTATAAACTAGCCCCCTCCTATTTTTCCGGTCTTTGTACAGCTCACTCCTCAACACGTAGTCATTGATCCAAAGTGACATTAGCCTCCTGGCTGTTCCATGAACTAAATATTCCCTCTTTTGGCTCCTGGTATTTTCTATGGCTGTCTCTCTTGCCTGGAACCCTCTCCCTCCTCCACTCTGATTACTGACCTCCCTGGCTTCCTTTTAAGTTCCAACTAAAATCCTACCTTCTACTGGAAGCCTTCCCCAACCCCTCTTAATTCTAGTGCCTTACTTCTGTTAATTATTTCCTATTTATTCTGTATATAGCTTGTTTTGTATGTATTTATTTGTATGTTGTCTCCCCCTTTAGATTTTAAGTTCCTTGAAGTTCCTGGAAGGAAGGGACCGTCTTTTGACTTTTTTTTTTTTAAATCAGTGCTTAATTTAGTGCCTCGTGTATAGTAGGTGCTTGTTAAATGTTTATGGATTGATTGAGTCGTATTCTATTACATTTATAAACCATAATTTTTTCAGTCATTCTTCAATTACTGATGGGTACCCACTTTGTTTCTAGTTCTCTACTACAGTAAAACGTGTTGCTGTACAACTGCTTTCCTTTTTTCTCCTATTTTTTGGGGGTATATGCCTAGTAGTTGTATTATATTGTCAGTGGATATGTACAGCTTAGTGACTTTTTAGGTGTATTTCCAAATTCGAGCCTGTTTCTTAATCTGTAAAAAAAGAAAAGATATTTGCACTGTTCTCAGAGGTCATATGAAGACAACATTTTATAAATCATTATGCAAATATGAGCTTTTACTATTGTTCTATGAGACATTTGAGTAACAATATAAGACAGTAAATGGTAAGTTCTGTGAGATTTCAAGAAAGAGCTAAGGATGGTTGGGAGAGTCCTGGTGGATCAATTGAATCTCAAATTATGATTTGGGTAGGCAGAGAGAAGAAGAAAGGGCAATGGGAGTAGGAGAGGGAATGGCATAAGCCAAGACCTGAGTCTAGAATGTACGGAGTGAGTTGGGAACAGTGAGTAGACTAGTCTGGTTGGTAGAGAAAGTTGGTATCATCAAGTCTTAGTAGATGAGATTGAGGCCTGATTGTGGAAATTTTTTTTTAATTTAATTTTTTGTGGAAATTCTCGAACACTAGGCAACATACTTTGTTGTTTAATGAATGCTTGTTGATTGACCTTGTCATCTTCCATTCAGTTATCAAAGGAATCTTCCTGAAGTGCAAGTCTGACCATGTCACCCTCCTATTCAGCAAATTCCAGTGGTTCCATATTACCTCTAGGATCAAATAGAAAATCCTTTTTGGCCAGTATTACCCACTCATATTCAGTTAACTCTAAGTGGCTCCCTATTATCTTCAGGACCAAGTAGAAGATCCTCTGTTTTCCTTTTAAAGCCCTTCTCCTCTGGCCCCTTCCTACCTTTCTAGTCTTCTTCCATCTTAATCCCATCCCCATACTCTGTGATCTAGTGGCACTGATCTCCCTAATCTTCCTGACACACAACAGTCCATCTCCCAGCTCTATGCATTTTCACTGACTTTTCCCCATTTTTGGACATCCCTCCCTCCTAGTTTCCTTCAAGTCTTAACGAAAATCCTACTTTGGGCAAGCAGCCTTTTCCTGGTCCCCCTCAATTCCAGTGCCTTCCCTCTGAGCTCATCTCCATTTTTTTTAGTGTGTAACTTGTTTGTGCATTGTTGTTTACATGTTATCTTCTCCATTAGACTGTGAGCTCCTTGAGTTCAAGGACCAGTTTGGCCTTTTCTTTGTGCTTAGCCCAGTGCCTGGCACATAGTAGGTGCTTAGTAAATGCTTGTTCACTAGTGACTAGAGATTAGTCATCTAGGACTATCCATTGTAGGCAATGGATAACCAAAACCGGTTCAGCGAGGTAATGCAGACTAGTGAGAAAATTCTCCTTCTGGAGTCAAGAAAGATCTGGGTTCTCAGTTCCTATGCTTCCTAGCTGTTTGACCATACACCAAACACTTCTCTCTCAGGCTTAGTTTCCTCAGCTGTAAAATGTGTGTGTTGATTCCTGTGCAACTTATTTCAGAGGGTTGTCATGACTAGAAAGTGAGCTGTCAACTTTAAAATGCTATATAAATGAAAGTTTTTAAATATTTCCTTCTATACATCCCCTAAAATTCCTGGACAGGGTTTGGGCTGGTCAGCTCAAAAGGAAATAAATAAGATTGTGCTGGCCAGGAAGGGAAGCTGAAAGGGAGGTGCTTACTTTGGGGCACAGGGAGTATCCTCCTGGCATTAAATTTGGAAAGGCCAACAGTCTTTGAGCCATTGTTTTGGGGTTTTCCACTCAGTGAGAACTTGTCGGGATGTTTCTGTCCAGCCATCCTGCTGGACATTTCTTGGCAGGGCCAATGGTAGCTGACCTTGGGTAGTGACGGTTGGGTAAACATCTGTGTAGATGGAACATTAACCAAACCCTTTCCAGACTAGCTTAACTCCCTAAAGAAGGTGGGGGCAGCCCTGTCCATGTGCCAAGTGGATCCCTTCCTAGGGGGATGGAGTGGGATGGGGGAGAGGAGGGGAAAGTTGGAGAAGCTTGCTTGCTGCAAAGTGGATGTGAGACTACCCACATTTGGCCATATAACCTGAAAGCAGAGCTAGAAGTTGGAAGGATTCTGGTACAAACGTTAAAGCCTGAGTTCTGTTTTCTACACATCTTCCCGATGGGTGGGAAAAGGCCTTTCCTTGTCTCTCATTCCTGTCCAGTGGAGTAGAGACTGGTGGTTACTCTCTTCTCTTAGTTTGTCTCCAGGGATGTGAGAAAGTACCTAGGCGTCAGTAAGGTAGGATTTGGGATGTGAGGTTTTCAGATTTGTTCTGTGAAGTTTGGATTCAGTCTAAGAGGTCCTTGAGGACCTGGAGGTCCACATGTGGCCTCAAGGCTGAAGGTTCCCTACCTCTGACCTAGTCCCTAATAAAGCAGTTACATACTTCCTCAGGGTGGGGAGTTGGCAGGCAGTCAGGGAAACAGATAGCCTATAAGTGTGGTTTCCTTGAATGGTCAAGAAATTAACTTTCTGGGGCTGACCAGACACCTGTTACTCTTTATTCCTAGGTGGCCCGAGGCAGCCGAGATGAAAGCTCTCCTTGGGAGCCGTGCTGCTTGCTGAGAAACATGATCAGCAAGTCTCGTGAGTATCTGCGCTGGACGGTTGTCCTACCTTAGAGGGTGGCTCTGGTATAGTGGGCAGTCTTATATCTTGCCTCCCAATCTGGGGTGATTAGAGTAGGACAAAGACCTTGCAACTGAATCCTTCAGGAATGAGGGAGAAGGGGAACTCCCACCCCTGTACTGTACTAGATGTGAGGATATCCTTATATTGATGTAGAATGAATTTGCTTAGCTGGGGTTGTAAGGGTGTCAGCAGAGAAGGAAGGTGGGATAAGTTTAGAAGTGGAGCTGGGGCACTGATCCTCACCATCTCCTCTACTCTCTTTGGATATCCTGTCTGTAGGCTGGAAGATCTTGGCCATGCTGGCTCTGTTCCTGGTCATGGCCTGGTATTCTATCTCCCGAGAAGACAGGTATGTGGTACCTGAGTATAGCTTTTATCTTCATTATAGTAACTTAGAAGCCTGGCCCCTGAGCAGCTGGAAGGGGATGGAGGTGTCGACAGGTACAGAGCAGAGGGCCCAGGAGAACTTGAAGTGTATGTCAGCCAGATGACTGTGGGTTCTGTGTTTAGCACAGTATCTGACCTGTGTGTAGTAGATGCTATATAAATGCCTGTATAAATACCCTTCCCCTCCCCTTCCTAGAGAAGTCATTGAACTCAATTTCTTCGTTTAAGTGGAGGTGAGGGTACTTATACTACCTGCTTCACAGGGCTACTGTGATGATCAAATGGGATAATTTTTAGTAGTGTAGTATAGTGTAGATAAAGCTTTTTATGGATTGTGGTGCCAGATGCCCCCTGTTATTGTTTCTTTTTCCTCCTCTCCCCATGGAGATAGGTGGGCAAGCCTGGGACAGCCAGCTGGTCTCTCCATTGGCCAGGATCCAGGATGAACCCTGAACCAGGGGATTAGGAATTGCGGCACTCTGTTAGGCCTGGGGATGCAAATACAAAAGTGACACAGTTCTCAGGAAGCTTACATTCTGCTGGCTCAAGGGGTCATTCTCTTAATATCCTGGACGTTGTTAAGGGGAGCCCTAGTTGGACCTTTCCGGGTTGGTGCATCTTAGGTGCCAGGCTTACAGTGTTCTTGGCAGAAGGGCAGGAGAGCCTCTGACTCTCCTCCTTTCCCTCCCTCTGTTCCAGTTTTTATTTCCCTGTCCAAATGGAAGGGCTGAAGTGCCCTCAGGGTGAGGTGGAAAAGAAAGCTGCTCAACTCATTGGCAAGTATGTGAGGATGGGGTCAGGGAGAGGGTGGGACTCCATTGGCAAAACTAGAGAATGGGGCTGATTGCAGGGTGGGAAGGCAGGTGCCTTGTGAAGAAGATTGATCCATTACTGGTAATGGCAACCTTTGAGAATGGTAGGGAGGGGAGGGTGTCAAACTGTGTGTCTGTCAGTGGGTAAGGGGATAGTATTGGGCAGAAGCCTGGCCCTGGTTCTGATGGATGGATGCACTTCACCCTTCCCCTTCCTCCCCCTGGGGCTGTAGCTACTCTCGAGACCAACCCACCTTTTTGCAGTTGAAGGATTTTTTCTGGATACAGACAACATCTACCTACCAGCTGCCTTATGGTGTCAAGGGGAGCGGTAAGTGCAAACACTCAGGCAGGGTTGTTAACTCCATACTTGACCTTGCTTCCTCCTCTCCTGTTTCCTATCCTTTATGACACCAGGGTACTTAGCCCTGAGCCACTCTGAGTCACTCAATCATCTTGTGTCTGTTAAGTGTCTCCTATGTGCCAGGTCCTATCCTAGTCCCTTGAGATGGAAAGACACAAGCAAAACAGACTCTGTTCTTAAACAGTCTTCATTCCTGTTGTTACATATGAAACAAGAGATGCCCAGGTTCTAGAGACCCTAAAGGGAGGAGCCTAGCTGGGATTTTGTATGTGTCAGTGGAGAATGGCATGCTGTGTGGAGGAGAAAGAAGGGGGAGTAAGAAGGGGTTTCTGGGCTGGGGGCCCTGCTGCTGCTTCTACCACGTCTCCAATTCTGTCGTCCTTGCAGAAGATGTGCTCCTGAGGGTTCTGGCCATCACCAATCATGCCATGCCAGAGAGCATCCAGAAGTGAGCAAAAACCATCCCTCTCCCCTCGCTTCCTACCCCCTGACTCTGTCCCCACTGAAGTACCAAGTACTGCCTCTCTTCTCTTCTCTGTCCCCCTCTCAGTCATCCCCCCCTCCAGTCTGGGACTGTGGAGCTACTTCTCTGTCATGATCAATGCTCACAGGTTTCTGATCCTGGTATAACCCTTCCCACCCTTGGTCTTCTTGTCCCATCTTGAGGCATTCCTGGCCACAGATCACTCCCAGGGAGCTTTGTACACCTGGTCCCTTGGGTCAGAACCAGGCTCAGGATAAACCTCCCTCTCTCTCAGGCGAGCCAGGTCTGCCAGTCCCATGGTGACATAGGCTGCTGAAGGTGTCACCTTGGTGACAGGATGGAGATGAGCAGGAGGATGCTTAGAGAGCCTAGAGCAGAATTCTGATTTCTGCAGTTTATAATGCTCTCCTCTACCCCATCAGCTGTCCTTTCCACTACTCAGTTTCTCTTCCTCCTTCTTTGCTGTCTCTCTCCACTAAATCTTCCTTTTCTTCTCCTTCCTTGGCACCCTTGAAGTCCAATCTTAGGAATTGGATTCCAATTGGATGCCAGGTACCCCTGTAACTCTGTAGCAAGCCCTGTGGGGGATTCTGATTAATGAAATGGGGGGGGGAGGTTGAGATTTTTGCACATTTTTATGATGTATTGATGAAGGGGAATTAGTGATTGGTTGTGTGGCTGTGGAGGGCGGGGGGGAGGAGGTGGCCAGGTAGGGTTCCCTGATAATCTTCCCCACTCTGTGGCAGGCTGAAGTGCCTCCGGTGCGTGGTGGTGGGGAATGGCCATCGACTGAAGAACAGCTCTTTGGGGAACACCATTGACAAATATGACGTGGTCATCAGGTTGGTTGGGTGTTCCGGGATGCCTTTTCACTTCCTTCCTCCTGGAGGTGAGAGTGATAGCAACATAGGTCCCCTAGTGCCCCTCTACAGAAGAGGGGCTGTGTCCCGATCCTTGATGGATCACCTTAGTGCCCTTGTGCTGACATCTAATGACTATCAGAGGACCTGGGTTCACATTCTATTTCTTCCACTTACTCTATGGGCTTGGGCAAGTTACTTCTGCCCCTAGGCATAAATTTTCTCATCTATGAAATGAGTAGATTGGCTTTGTTCTCTTAAGACCCTTTAATCCCCAGATCTGTGAGCCCCATGGAATGTGGGAGACAGGCAAAATCCTTGTGAGTAATGACCAAACCCTTTCCTCCATCTCAGGCTGAACAATGCTCCAGTGGTTGGCTACGAGAGTGATGTGGGATCTAAGACCACCATGCGTCTATTCTATCCAGAGTCTGCCCACTTTAGCCCCAAAGTGCAGAACAACCCCGACACCCTCTTGGTCCTGGTACCCTTCAAGGCGATTGACTTTCACTGGATTGAGACCATCTTGAGGGATAAAAATCGAGTGAGTACAAGGACCCTGCAGAGCAGGGTAAGCTAGTGATCAGGGCCTGCAATCTGAGTCACCTCCACTCCTTCCCTACCCTGGATGCCTGGAATATTAACAGATATGGGATGATCAGGTCTTAGGCCTCTCTCTGGAAACCAATATGTAATTACTTTTATTTTCACCTGGGGTCAGTATCCCAGGGCACTTCTAGCAGGCTGGTGGCCCAGGTCTTGGACCTGCTGGGAAGATTGCCACAAGCTGCAGTAGGTATGGGTGATGGCGAGATATAGGGCCTGGACCACCAGTGTTCTTATCCCTCCACACGGGCATTTCTTGGGGCTTTGAGAGTTGCCTAGCACAAGGGAATGAGATTGTTCCCTCCATACTGTACTCTGGGAAATAGACAATTCCATGTAGATAAGGGCCCTTTAGAGATTATCTCATCCTCTGAGCAGGCCTGAAGCCTAGAGCAAAGGTGATTTGTTGTTCCCTCCCCTCTGAGAAATCTTTGGGAGATTCCACAGCCCTCCACCCGGAGCTGACCTATCCATTCAGGCATTTCACCTTATGTGTAACCCAAATCCCTCTAGGGAGGAGAGTAGGCTACTTTACTTGCTTGTGTCACCACAGAGATGGAGAACAGCTGTCTTTGCTCTCCATGTTGTGACCCAGCCTGTGTAAAATCTGACAGCTTCTTTCAGTTCTCCCTCACTGCCTCCCATCTAGGCCTCTCTCTTCTCTTCCCTGCAGGTAGTCCCTATTTCAGGTTCCTCTTGCTCTGGGATTCCTCCATCTCTCATCTCAGACCCGCTTCTCCCATTATTTACTCTCATTCCCAGTCTCTGCCATGCTGAGGTTAAAGCCCACTTTTCATTAACTCTTCTGCTTCAGGTGCTGAAGGGCTTCTGGAAACAGCCCCCCCTCATCTGGGATGTTAACCCTAAGCAGGTGCGGATCCTTAACCCCTTCTTCATGGAGGTCACTGCTGCTAAACTGCTGAGCCTGCCCATTCGACCATCCCGGAAGATCAAGCAGGTTGGCTAGGAAGCGGAAGGCAGGGAGAGTGGAGCTGGAGGATGAATTGGGGTCATGGATGTGGAATGAGTTCAGAGCTGGACAGGGGTTGAGGCCTGCCCTCTGGGACTCTGGATTCTGAGGATTTCATCCTTATTTCTTTAACCTCTCCTTTCCTTCTCTCTCTTCACTTCCTCTCTTTCCCCCACTCCTCTGCTCACTCTTAGAAACCCACCACAGGCCTGTTGGCCATCACCCTGGCACTTCACCTGTGTGACCTGGTACACATTGCTGGCTTTGGCTATCCAGACTCCTCTAATAAGAAGCAGACCATTCACTACTATGAGCAGATCACTCTCAAGTCTATGTCTGTGAGTTTCAGTTATTTCTCTAGGGTCCCTGCCCTCTCATGCAGTTCCTGTGAGCTTTGGATAGGGAGAGAGGGGAGGCAAGGCCACAGAGGGAGTGATTAGATAAGCCTGGAATAGAAGGGGGAGGAGGAATTCGGAGAAAAGTGGTCTAGTTTCTCGGGAGTGGAATCCAGAATAGTGCTAGGGTACAAAGGAAGTCCATTTTGGGGCTAATGTAACCTAGTCCTAGGTCAAGACTAGAACCCAGGTGATCTGACTCCCAGAGCAGGACTCTCTCCATTAGGTCACTCTTGATGTTGTAATCCTAAACTCTTTTCTCTGTTGAGAAGCCAGGACCTGGGAATGAGGGAGCTCTCGGGGTGGGGGTAGGGTGCTGATGGTTGTGAGGAGGGGACTTTTCTTGGGGGCTGGGAGTAGGGCAAAGAAAAACCAGTGTGAGAAACCTAAATGTATTCTCTTGAAATTTCCAAAGGCATCAGAACACAACGTCTCTCATGAGGCCCTGGCTATCAAACGGATGCTGGAAATTGGAGCCGTCAAGAATCTTACTTGCTTCTGACTTGGGCAAGAATTGTACCAGTCAGTCTGTCCATCTTATTGCCAGAGGAACCACTCTTGCATGGGTATGGGGAATCCTGGTGCTTATAAAATACACTTGGACCCAATCCTCTTCAGCTACAGGGAGAAGGCCCTGGGATTGGCCAAGAGTGGGTTGGGGGCAGTGCCCCAGACTACATAGTATCCATGAAGTCCAGGGCCCAGCAGGCTATGAGGCCATGGAGTCTTAATGAAGAGTATGGGAACCAAGTCCAGGAGTTAGGGTTGGTGCTTTCATGACCACTTTCCCCACTGGGGTCAAGAGACTTTTTAATGTTCTATTTAATTGGGGGTATAGGGGGATGGCAGGAAGAATTGATGCCTTAGCCACATGGAAGGAGTTGTGGGCTGGTCCTATAGTACTCCCAGGAAAGAGAGACAGGGCCCTCATGGGCACAATACAATATTTTTTCCATTTTTTTATACCTACACAAATGTGATGGGGCCTTTGAGGCCTGGACTCAAGAGTACAGACAGCCCAAGAAATGGGCGCAGATTCTGAGAATGTTGTTTGGGGCAGGGGCTGTTACCTCCCAGCTGGCATGGGAGGAGAATGAGGGCATGAAGGGGTTCTTCAGAGGAGGGCCCCCATTTTTGAAATAGGTTGATGAACCTGTCATTAAATATTTTTCCTCAAAGGAAGATGGAGTCATATTTTATTGTGAGGTGGGGCTGGGATGGAAGGGTTGGCAACAGAGGGCTCAAGAGAGGTGGTTGGAAGATCCAAGGGAGCAGTCCCCATTTTTGGCATGGGGCAGCTGTCTTGCGAGCTGTTGTTATCTGTCATCCTCTCAATGTCCTTGGGGCTGGGAATGCAGTGGCAATCATATTTGACCTTGTTGTGAAGGGAGTGTTCCCTCTCCCACACAGCTTGTTGAGAACATGGGCAGTGAGCTGTGGCCTAGAACCTCTCTTGGTGTCCACAGCCGCCCTGCCCATCGTGTGTCAGGTTTGGCTTTCTAGCAATTGCTTCTGCTTCCCAAAGGGTATGGTTGAAGGCCAGGGGCCAAGGCACCAGGACAGACAAGGATGGTAGGGACAGAACCTTCTGCCTCCCTCTCCTGCCACCTGTGCCACACTCATCACTTCACAGAGTCCCAAGCTGGCAAGTATATTCTGGAGAGTGGAATGGAGTCAGATATCTGGAGCCAGCTTTCCCTTCCCTGGATGCTCCTTCCAGTAGGGCAGGTGGTGCAAGCCAGGTGCCTTTTGTCAGTTCTGGAAGAGGCAAAGGACTGGGGAGGGGCCAGCACTCCCATCTCCAGACTCAGCTGGTCTCAGCCATTCTCAGGCTGTGCATGCTGCTGCTGCTGCTGCTCTCTCCCCACCCACTCCTCTGGTCCCCCAGCCACTGCTAGCTGCCAGCTGGGCCTTCTGCCACTGCACATCTGTTCTGATTTGTCCCTGAGTGGAGTGGGACCCACAGCTGTGTTCTTGGCCTTTCCCAGGGTCTGGGAGGTGGCCAGTCTAAGGCAGGACAGACAGAAGGGCTGGAAAGAATTCCTGTGGGGATGGTGGTATGGGTCTGTATGTGTGAGGCCCTGATCCCAGGGAACAAGGACTGGGTTCCCTGACTCACTACAGAGCAGGGGCACTTAACTTGGGGTTTACAATTTTAGAGACTCCATGAATTTGGATGGGAAAAAAAATTAGATCTTTCTTTTCACTAACCACTAGGTCCATAGGCTTAACCAGACTGCTGGAGGGGTTCAGGACACAAACCAGGCTAAGAATCCCTGGACCAGAGCTTTGTTCGTGCTTTGAGCCCTTCTCCCCCACTGTTTCAGGAAGTGGGGAGATTTCTTGGAGTTATTTCATGACCACCCATTTAATTTCCAACCCCAAAGCTAAGAGGGGTGGAGATGGAAGCCAACATCATCCGGAACGTCAGCACCCTACTACTCACAATGAGGAAGAAGTTCTGGGGTGCGGCTCCCTCTCCTTGCTTTGCCTCCGTGGTGTTGGCAGCTGGTATCCTGGTTTGCCTCTTGTTCCAGATCCAGAAGACAGTGGAGGGAGAGTCCACTCCCCCTTTCTGGGACCAGTAATGGCTGCTCTCACATGCAATACAGCTGTTCTGGACTCCAGCCACAGTCTGTTACTGAATGTGCCTTAAATGTGAGCCAGAGATCCACCCCCTGCTCACAGTCCTCAGCTGTGTAACACACACACACACACACACACACACACACACACACACACACACACACACCCCACATCACATATACATATTGGGTCATACTCCCAAAATAGACACCAAGAGACTCAGGCACACATATATATACATACATGTGTGTGTGTGTGTGTGTGTGTGTGTGTGTGTGTATAGTGTATATGTACACACACGCTCCTATTCATCTATATGCATGGATGGAATTACAAATATAGTCAGTCACTTTCTAAGACGATGACAAATGCACACACAAAGAGCCATCTCCAAGCTGTGACCCTGCTTCTTAAGTCAGGCTGAAGTGGGAGGGGGAAGAAGCATGAGCATATCTGTAGTGAAAGAAGATGGTCGAAGCTTCTACGAGGTCTCTTCTTCCCGCCCCCTTTCAAGAATGATTGCATAGCTGAGATGTAGTTTAGGTGATAAACTGAAGAAAGAGTTTGATACAGAGCCCCAACCTCCACTTTCAGGACAAAGACACCATTTTCTTGTGGGATGCTCCAAAGGCACAGAGCTGAGCTGGATCCTGGGGGAGCCTTAGCTAGAGAAAAGTTTGCTAGGGAGTTTTCACTCCACTCTTTCCCTTGTGAATACACCTAGAAATCATAGTCCTGCCATTCATAGTGTATGGCAGGTGGGAATAAGAGGGAAAGGGGTAGGGGGTACATCCAGGGAGGAAAGGTAATTAGATCGGTCATATCTTGGAACCCAGGGACCCAAGCAGGCTTCCAGGACAAAGATGATCAGGAGACTGGATATGCTATTAGGGTTTAGAGATCAATGACATTGAGGACAGAGTAAGAAGGAAGGGCAGAATAGTGGAGTAGATAGACTTTTAGCACTTAACATCAAAAAGACCCCAATACCAGTGCTACTTGCACCTTACCTGTGTGACCATGGACAAGTCACAAACTAAGTAACCCCAGGCAACTTTCTACCATGATAAATTTTAAAGGATAGCCAGCTGGCATCTGTGGAAGGGTTCTCCACATTTTACTGGAGGGAGTTACCTATAGCTATAAAATCTTAAATCTATACCCTACTCCCTAATTACAAAAAAAGTCAAGGTCAAACGGTTCTAAAGACGTTGAAGCACAAAGTAGCTAACTTGGGTCACGGTTTTTCTTCCCTTTTCCATCTGTTGTTGGGGTGAGCTTCCAAGTCTTAGGCCTGAGGCAGGAAAGGCACAGCTGTGTCAGCACTGACCGAGTCCAAGGTGCCCCTGGAAGGTCTGCTGTGCCATGGAAGATTAAGCACGGGTGGCACCCTGAGGCCAGAGTCACAATGGGCCTCCTCCAGTGGCTTTACAATGCACAGTCATGTAAAGTAGATTTGGGGGGCCTTGGGGATTAGTGAACCCTTTTGCCATTCCGTTAATTAGCCTTACAGGAATGACTCGCTTGCCAGTTTGTCTGGCATTAATTAGACTATGTTCTGCCCAGATCCCACAGTGCCAGTGGTGAGAGTTAGGATTGTAAAGGACTTCTCTCCTAAGAGCTGTGGGAACATTGCTCCCCCTTTCCATTTCTGGGCTGGAGAGGGGAAGAAGGGGTAAGGAGGGAAATGGGGCCATAGATTTGGAGCTGGAAGGGTTTTTTGAGGGCATCTAGTCCAAACCCTTTATTTTACGTTTTAGGAAACTAAGGCCTAGAGATCTTAAGGCGAAGGGTGGGGGAGGAGGAGGGGAGTATGATTACGCATGCGTGCTCAGATTGAGGGGGCGCTAACCAGGCTTTGAGTGGTGGGGGAGGCGGAGGAGTGTCAGTTAGAGCTCTAGCCTGGATGGTCTGCGCTTGCGCGGCTTCTCCCCGTCGTTCCTTGGGGGTCAGCTTCTGCAGGAGGTTACTTCTCCGCCTACCCCGGGTGGGTAGCATTCAAATTAAGGCGAATGCTTGGCTCTCTTCGCGGGGGTCTCGGCTCCAGGTTAGGGGCTTCTTCGCTTTGGGGCGGTTCCCCACATCCCAGCTACCCGCCGGGAGAAAGGAGGTGCATCTTGGGGTGCTCTTCGCCCCATGAGCTACTGGTCGTACCCTCGCTGCTGCAGCTGGAGGACTTCTCTTTGGAAGCAGACCCATCCCTCTTTCTGCAGCCTTTCCTGATGGAAGGAACACACCCATTCCCTTTATTACAGTGGACACCCTTTATTCTCAGCCTATTCAATAAAAATGTACACTTAATTCCTGTCTTGCTGCATCCACAAGCCCAGCTTTGCTCTGACGGCGGAGGGGTAAATTGAATGGCAAAAATGTGGTAGGAGAAGAGAAATAATGGAGGGGGAAAGTATCCCTAGGGGAGAGAGTCATTTGGGTGGTAGTAATAGCCTCCTGTTGTGATTCAGTTTTCATGGCTGAAACTGCGCTCCAGACTTGCCCTTCTAAAATATGCCGCTTGTCCCCAAAGACCGTGTCCAGCCTAGTGGGAGGAGAGGCAGAACTGGTGCTTGGAAATGATGCTTGCCTCTGTGTGGTGCGGTGGCCTTGCTGAGAATCCGGGAATGGTAGATAAGCTTAGGAAGTGGCTTGAACGCTCAGCGCGACCAGACTGCTTATGGAGAACTGTGTCCAGTTCTGGCTGCCACATTTTAGAAGGAACATTACTGGATGGAATGTATTCAGAGGAGGGTGACCAAGATAGAGAAATAACGCTATGAGAGGATGGAAGATTGGTTGAAGGCACTGGGACTATTTAGCCTGGAGAATATTAGCAGCTAGACAGATCACTGTTTTTAAATATTTGAAGGACTAGTATGTGAAAGAAGGATGAGATTTGCTCTGCTTGGCCCCAGAAGGTAAAACTAGGTTAGTGGGCATAAGAGAAGCAGATTTTAGCTCAACATAAGGAAAAGACAAAACAAAACTGCCTAGCAATTAGAGCTACCCAGAATTGAAATGGGTTGCCTGAGGTGGAAGTATCTCTGAAATTTAATGCAATAAAGTTCGATAAAGAAACAGCAGTGAGTTCCTGGTCACTGGAAATTTTGAGCACAGGGTGGCTGACTACTTTGGAAGTGATGCTCTAGGCAGGTTTCATGTTTTCAATCAGATGACTGGCAAGGTTCTTTCCAGCCCAGCAGTTAGAGACCCCTCCCAATGCTATGATTCTGTAATTATAAACATACATCATTGGCATAGGGAGTAGGTATGGCAGATTTGAAGGTCCAATTAAAAAATAGACTTAGGTATGGTATGAAATGAATGCCATTGAGTAACAACAGGATTCTAAAAGAAAGCCGTTATGTTAAAGTTGTGTAAGAATTGAGGAACAGTGAAAAAACTGGCAACCAGGAATGTAATGTGATCTCAAGCTTCCTTAACAGATTCATAGTGCCCAGGACCGGGAGTGGGAG